ACTCCCAAACAGGCTGTAAATTCTAATGAAGGCTATGAAACTGAATGAATATTTCCACCTGATCAAGGAAGTGTACTTCTCTTTTTACAATCAAGTTGATCGAGATTTTAGACAACCATTCACGCTTTGCTACCTCATTAGTGAGCTGATTATTGTTGGGTACAATATTTATAGTTTCTGGGATCTTACAAAGTTTGTACATGTAGAGAGGTAATCAAACTCCTGCCAAATTGCACATTTGTCAATGGAAGTAACCTTTATAATATATCAAGTCTTTTAGAATTTATGTACATAGTAGTTCTGACATGCTAATTTCAAGGAGAAATATTTAACCATTGAACAGTTGATTTTAATTATCCTTTTTTCTTGGCTCCTACCACATAAAAAATGATGGGGTCAAAGGAGTGATTGAGTTTTAAGATTCAGTTCTCTTTTGGAATTTTTTAGTACCTTCTTTTTTAATCTCTTTCATTCTCAAACCTTCTCTTATGCATTGCCAGGTTTATGATGTGTCATCATATTTAGATGAACACCCAGGTGGAGATGATGTCTTACTAAGGGCGACTGGTACGAGTTTTTTATATTCTGTATATTTAAATTATTTTCGATAAACTGCAAGCGCCTTGTGGATTATTCAATTCCAAGGATAATCTTAAATAGACATTGGAACCATATGAATGGGTTTTGCTTTTCTTCTGAAGGAAAAGATGCCACCGATGAATTTGAAGATGCTGGGCATAGCAAGAGTGCAAGGGAACTAATGGAGAGTTTCTGCATTGGGGAACTAGACCCTACCCCAGCCATTCCTAAGCTGGAGATTGTCTCTAAGAAGCAAGAACTTGAGGGCGTCTCCCAGAAGGTCATTAACCTTGGTAAACAATACTGGGTTATTCCAGTTGCTGTTGGCTTATCAGTGGTGGTTAGCTTCCTGTACCTGCGCAAGAAGTAAAAGATGTCAAGTTCTCAGACTAGAATAAATTATTTTCCAATTTTGATTTATTAATACACTAGGGAATGAAAAAACTAACCCCATGTTCTGAAACTTGAAAATTGGGGACGATATCAGTTTTGTTAGTCATTACCTCAAATACGACTGAGGCTGTTGAAGCCCGGATTGACATACATTCTTTCTTATATAAGAATTGCGATGCTGGAGACTGATTTGAGTTTGAGTCTAAGTTATTGGTAAATTGCGATATAATCAGAATTTATTTATTTTTAGCTATTTACTGGTTAATCTTCGTACAATCGAGTGCTTGTTAATCTTATTTTATGTGAGTTTAATTCACAGTACTATATTTTGCATAGAAATGATACAAAACAGGTAAAGAAACTGCTTATAAGTTAATATAAGTTGAAATTTGTAGCTGTGTTTCCATTTCTTTGCTTATGTAATGTGATTTCTTTATCTGAAACAGAATAAAATAGTTGAAAGATTACTCATTGAAAGCGAGTGGAGAAGAAAATGATATTAATGAAAAATAATGAGGAAATACCTCAATACAGCCTAAATAAAAGGGAGGTTTGCAAGAATAGGCCAAAAAATAAAAACATTTGAAAATTAGCCTTTAAACAATTATCTTTCCAAAAATACCCCTTATTGTGAAATTGCAACCAAAGTCACTACAATGTTTAAAAACCTTCAAGAAGGTCCTCAAAGAAATATAGATTAGAAATCTTTAATAAAATTAACCTCAAATATTATACAAAATTTTATTGACCTAAAAAACACAACAGAAAATGAATTAAATTATTTAGAAGAAGATTTGAAAGGATTCTTTACAGAATATTTAGATCCAAAACTAAAAAATAAAAATATTTCTATAGATAATAATACAATCAAAACAGAAAATGATATATATAAACTAATTCTTAACTTGAGAAGAAGAATTAAAGAACTA